AAGTTGTCTTACAAATACGACCCCTCCCCAGAGCAAAAGTACGACCCCCCCCATGGGTTTGACACAACGATGCTGTACCCTGTATGCAAATGCAAAAGTGAAAAATAAGAAGGAACACAGAGTGGTCTTCTCATTCAGCGGCGATGGCAGGGTAATTGTTAGACGGACATCTCAGAAACATCCTAGAAATTGAGTTTCCGGAGAATTCACATGTAGAACTTCATATGTATATCATAAAGCAGCGCAGTGTAGAGCAGAAAGATTATGAAGAATATGAAGCGACCGAGGATTGTAAAAATTAGATATACCTGCCGGAATCTGAGTGATTCTTTGTTATTCAGAATTCTCCTCGATTTCGATTCGTTCTTAAGAAACCGGAGTTTGACTATCAGCAGAGCTGTTAAGATAATAACAAAGAAGCCCATGATCTGAACCATGCGACTACTTTTTAAACAGAGCTCCAGTGAAGCGATGCATCCAAATACTCACCATATTGCTTATTCCCCAGTGATAGCGGAATTTGGTACCGATGAAGCACCCGATAGCCGCACAATTAGGTGATTTTTCAAAAGGCGAAACAGAGGAATTCCAAGACGAGATCAGTTGCAGCCAACAAAACACCAATCAACAGAGAAGTTGTTGCATATTTGGACGAAGGCAGCTTTCGGTAGGTCAAAGGGAAGAACAGAGCCTAAAAAAATTGATTTCCGAAAAGAGCACGAGAACCACGCTCTTTTATTCTTACCAGTAATCGCTCAAACGCTATAGATATAGACAGAGTTAAATAGATCTTTCAAGTGAATTGTTAAAGGTGTACTGGAAAGCATGATGAAATATGGATCGAGGTCTATGTACGTTGGACTCCAATGCGTCGTTAAATAGATTATGTACGGAAGGGCTAAAAAGAGAAGTATAAGTAAAAGCAGTCCGCCAGGAAGTGTCCGCCAACTGTTTGACTTTCTTGAAGACAAAAGTTAGCCTGGTAAGGAATGCTCACTTGTCAGCGCATGAAGGAAATCAGTA